GAGAAGCTGTGGCTGCCACTCCTTTGTCCTGACTCACGTCATTCCTCCCCAGCCGTGGCCTCCACGACGAGGTCCCCGCGCAGATAGCCTGACACGGCCGGGCACGTCACCCCCTCCACTCGTGCAGATGCAGGGCATTCGTTCTGCAGCAAAGTTTCGCTGGGAATTTTTCCACCTGAAGGGTTTTTCTGGTGGAACACACAGGTTTTGAAACAGGCAAGTAATCTGACTTGGGGGTGTTTCTTCTCCCAACATATTCACTTCTTTACTTCATTTTCCTTTCCGCTGGGATAACGGAACCAGGATATTTCATTTCAGCCAGTTCATCACAAGTCAAAACTTGTTGGGTTTTTTCAGCTCACCCAAGCTGTTTTGTTCCGATGAGCTCAAACCAAGCAGAGGGGAAAAAAAATCCGTTCGTCAGTCGGTATTCCTGGGCGGTCCAGTCCCCCGCGGCATTTCTAGCACTGGTTTCACTCCCACCTGACGGTCACCCCGGAGCCTACATCCCCCCCTTCCAGGGCCCGCCTTCTCTGCGTGGGGCATCGTGAGCGTCCTCCCACGCTGGTGTGCGTGGGTCTGGGGTATCGGGCTCGGTAGCGAGGGGGATGGGAGCGCAGCCTCCCTGCCACGTCCCGCCGTGGGGGGTTAGGTCAGAAATTTCTTGTGGAAAAGCACTGTTTTGTGCTCATCCTCAAAACATCAGAGAACACTCTGAGCTCAGGAAAACTGATATTTTTGTGAGCATCAAAAAAAGTGGAAATTACGGCTTTCAACATTTTCTTAATGCAAAATTTGGAGCATTGCCAACCCCAACATGGAAAAAATAATTACGAGACTTTTGGCGTAATGCCCTGTTTTGGAACAGCGATGGCAGCGGAGAAGCCAGACTTCCCCAAAGGGGCAGACACGTGGCGTTGGTCGGTCCCCATCTGAAGCGCACGGCATCTGCAGAAGGCTCTCACCGTTCCTTGTGCGTGCTGTCCTCGCCGTGGTTAATCATTGCCGCAGGGCTCAGTTTCCTGACATTTGCCAGCCGACTCTTCCTCTCTCTCCAACCCAAAGGCCAGCATCAGCTGCCGAGGAGCTGTGCAGCCACCGAGTGCCGTCTGTCAGCCTTGTCCCTCGCAGCCGCGGCTACCCCGAGCCTCGGCCCGCCTTTTTTTGGAAGCGGTGCCAAGGGATATGACGGATTTTATGCACCCCACAGCCGCCCTTCCTGCAAATTCATCAACTTCAGAACAAGCTGCGCAGGCTCATGGCCTGAGAATGCAAGAGTCACCGAGTCCTCCCAGGGACTTGGCAATGACCTCAGCCCTGATGCGTTTAGCCCACCAACAGACACCCAGGGTGGCGAGATCTCCGACTGCCGCCGCGGCACCCCGGCAGTCGTGGGTGGCAAGGAAACGGCACGCGTGCAGTTTGTGCCTCTCGTGGCGTGGGGTGCGGAGCTGTCCCTCGCGCTCCCCTCTCCTTGCTGGTGAAGGGATGCTTTACCAGTCCGTCTCCCTTGCAGATTTTCGCCCTCGGTGCAAGCAGGGAGTCACCGTCTCCAGCAGCAGAGCTCCATGGCAGTGGGGAGGCTGCCTCTACGCCCCGCTCGCTGCACTCCTGGGGTC